CACTACATTCGTTTGATCAGGATGTCTGCGACTGTCCGCTCTATCTGCACGATATGCTCCAGAACGCAGGACGACAGGGCGGACAGGTGTCACAACTCTCGTGATGTTTATGTTAAGTGTATGAGAGAGACACGCAACAGAGTAGGCTGGGCGACCACGAGGAGTGTTATTCGCGTTCGCTATGCTCGTTCTCTCAGGGGCCTCGAGACTTGAGTGATAAGGTTGCCTGGGAGGCTGAGCCACCGGTATGCGAGGCTGAGCTCACTGTTCACGGTTCTTGTGTCGGCCAATATTTGAAGAACAGCATCTTGAAACGTAGGGATGCCACCTAGGTAGGTATCACTGGTAGCTAAGTTTAGGTCGTCCTTATCCATTCTTGGACCCCTCCTATACTGGTGGTGAAGACAACACTTACGCTGATGACAAATGTTTCGCAACCAGGGCCCAGTTTGAGAAATGTATGCTCAAGAAGGACATCAAGGTCCCCCAAGGCTTGCTGAGCTGATTAAATATTCTTTGTGCAGGCCACTGACACAAGGTTCGTATTCAAGGATTTCGCCACCCACGAGACCAGTTTGGCGAAGCCGTAGCGTGTCTTTGGAAGTATGACTTAGATTGTATGGTTCAATCATTGTTATGATCATTAGTTTGACGGAGCGTCCTCACTATCACATGTTTTTATTATCTAAACCCACCCTCTTGTGTTGTCAAGTGCTGCCCAAGAAATCACGTCCGGAGGTTTAGAAGCTATCATTCAACCATCTCCACTATAACCTATTGAGTATCTCATAAGGGAAGCTCTAGGAGAGCTGCGGAAGTCTCGAATACCACGCCAAGGTTTTATTACGAAACAAGTTCACAACCTTGTGACTTGTCCTCGTGATATATTCGACTTCACTTCACTGGACGGAAGTAATCAGGTTCCCGAAGAGGTACGAGAGTACACCCAGATTGATGGCCAAGCTCCTTGGTTTTCCACCATGTGATTGGACTCAGCCTATCCAGGATCCAAAGTAAGTCGTTGTGGTATTTGCCTCAATCACTTCGATAAGAGAGACTCCTACTGCTGTTGGACGCTATTCCGTTGCCGGATAGAACGGAGGCTGCGTTCTTAGTATAGGGAAAGTTGAGGCGTACCGGAGCAATGTGCCGACCTTGTCTAGCCACTATTGCTCAGAGATGCGGAGGTGAACGCACTTTTGCCTCGCCGTGGGAGTAGATTAGTCAACTTGGGTTCGATAGCTACCACTCAGCAGCTGGCAGGAACTCAATTCGTCGAGGTCACTTCGTCCAATACGGACCCTCTGGTCTCATAGTTACATCTGAATTTGTGTCGAGATTGTTAGAATGTGCCAAACCACGACTTGCGTTCGTTGTTCATAATGCAGCGACTCATTAACACAACGAAACACCGACAAGGTCACTATGAGAGCATTGCATGCAACTCGCCTTCACTGGAGGTCTTTGCTGATGGTGCAAAGACCATAACGGGTGCCGGGATCTGAAGCTATGGGTTTCAGAAGAGGGAACATGCCTCTTCTTCGATGCATGCCTGAGGGAGAAGCTCGTGGACCGACTGAGCTACGCAGTGTCCTCTTCTAGCACTAACTTTCCAAAGGCAGGACCGGAAATAGATTGAGTACTCCTAGCAATACCGATACAACCATCGATACTGAACTTATTCAACAGCACACTGAGAACCAGCAATGTGCTAATAGCTGTGCCAGTACGAAACTATGACATTATCATGCGGCGCGATGTGACAAACACAACAAATAATCGACAAAAAGGTAATGGTTGCTGTTATTGCTCCACAGAGTATGATCAGCCATGTAACCTCTAATAGATAGCGAGCAATGGTGTAGAAGCTGCTAGCAACTACTGTGATGTTGTGACAATCGTGCCTTAGCCGCAATGCTCGTTCCTCTCAAGAGGCATTCGGATCCTCATCGTAGAACCAGTCTCTTTTGATGCGCAAGTTCTCCTGAAGCTGTCCACTCCGCTCCAACTGGTTGTACTTATACCAATATCTGCAAAGAAATCCGCTTACTGAGAAAGGGAACAAGTGATGGTATGTGCGGAGCTGCACTGGAAGTTGTGGGGGCCAACTACTGACACTTACAGTGGGCTCTTGTGGAAGTTCTCGTAATCGGCTCCCTTGTATGGTGGGTGATACACGAGGAACACCAATGCGAACCCGATAGCGAAATGAATCTTTATTTGTCTGAGGGGAGGATCACCCGTCTTCACTGCAATGCATCGGAATTGACACGAGGGAATGTGTGAGTTCGACAGCAATGACGACAACAGGGCTCAGTTAGACCCAGAGCAATGACTTGAAACGGTTACCTGGCCATCAGAGCGACCTTGTCTCTCGAGTAGTTGGGGAAGTAGTAGAACATCCAATCCATGGGTGTCTGAAGGGGATCTATAACGATAGTGCTCGTCGTAGTAGAAACACAATAGAAACCCGAAATGATTCCAAAGCAACTTACGAAGATGTGAGATCTCTGAGACATGGTCTTCACTGGAGTGGGGAGGACGGAAGCCCTGGGAGCCAGACTAGGGATGATGCGCCTCAACATACTGTGCTCGTCAAAGACTGATCAGCGCAATAATCGCAGATGGTATGTAATCGATGCAAGTCGACCCGCACGCGAAACCACAAGCGATCTGTGCAGCATTTGCGCGCGAGCCATTCTGATCGATTCAATACATGCACATACAACACCCGCATCGGAAGACTGAGCACGGGTTTCTAGTAGAAACTTTCTACGATGTACAAGTGTCGGGAAAGACAGAAATAGCTTCAACGCTAAATTCTGTACTAACTCGTTTGCTTTCACGGTTTGCAGCGTGCGTTGGTAATTATCAAAAATTTGTGATTATCAATTAATAATCTTCAGTCCCTAAGAGCAGCAGCACTACAGTCCTACCACTATAGAGAGTAGTCACGGAAGGCAGCCCATGGACCTCTCATGTACTGGCGAGAACGCAACCAAATCTCGATTGGTGAACTGCTTATATAAAATGATTCGTCAAGAACGACACAATCCCACACAACGTCACAGCATCATCATAACGTTCAAAGTCGACTTCTCATGTAGAAGGACTTTCCAGGGTTCATGATTCCGCGAGGATCCAACGCTTGCTTCACTTGTTGCATCACTTTAATACCCGTCTAAAAGTATAAAGCACATGACTCCTACTGTGAAGGATCAACCTCTGCTTACCATGCCGA